ACCTGACCTGATCCCACTTCTGCCCTGCAGAGTCCCCCTTGAGGGATGCTGGAAGGGAAGGGACCTCAGAGTACTCTCTCTATACGACCTCAAGTCCAGGATCACAAGGCTGGGGTGACAGAGAGAGGGTCAGGACCCCCAGGCTCCAGGCAGTGATAGTGATTGTTCACACATCTTAACATATACAAACACGGGCCATTCAGAGCTGCACAGAGGAGAAAGGGACTTTGAAAGATGCTGCTAGGTGACTCAAACCCTTCCCCTGCCCCACCCCCAATCCCAAAGCAGTTTCTCTCACCTGTCAGTTCACTCTGGGCTTCAAGGAATGGAAGAGAGGGACTCCCAAGCCCCTTGGTCACTCAGACGAGGCTATTGCAGGGCCCAGACACCTTCAGGTACAGTTACTGTCCTTACGGAGCAAGGTTAAAAATGGGTAAAAAGGTTAAAATTGGGTGAAAAGGTAGGGACTTCCACTAATGAGCCCTCTGCCCAAGGACGGGAAAGAAGGGATGGGGCTTGCCAGAGGCACACGAAGGAAAACTCAAGAGGTGCCTTGGTTTGGAAGGGCCTAGTGACAAGGTGACAAGCAAGTCTGAGGAGGTTTTCCTCTTCTTTCAGGCAGAAGCTGCACATGCACGGCTGGTGGGGGGAACTGAGTGCCTCTGACGCCCTATGTCAGCGTGGAGGGCCAATACCAGAAGCAGATCTATGACAGCGAGGGCTGCATTCTCCCTACCCGGGAACTAGGCCACTTAGAATAGACTACATTACCCAGCCTCCCCTGCGGATAGATGCGGCCAATGACCTGTGAGCAGATGGGTCACGTGGCAGCTTCCCGGCATCCCCGAGAGAGTGGGCCTGGAGGGCGGGGCGTGGGAGGAGCCTGCGCCCTGGAGACCTCGCGGGGCTGGACAGCACTTCGCCCTCTTTATGTGTGAGAGAAACAAGCTTCTCTTGTTTAAGCCACAGCTTCGTATTTTTGCTGTTCCAGCCGAACCTAATCTTAAATAATTATGGAGCCAAAGGAGGAGCTAAGGCTGGCTGCGGAGGCGGGCCCCAGGTGTTGGTGGTACTTCAGAGCCCGAGGGGTCCGTGGGGGGCCAAAGGCAGGACCAAGGGGCGCGGGGAGCTGGGGCGCCCAGGTGAACAGAAGGTCTTCCGGCCTGCAGGGTTTTCAGGCCGCCGGGGAGAGTTAGAAGGGTCAGAAACGGCAAGGAGAGGGACTAGAAGTGATCAAGAGGAACCAACTATGCCCACCCTCTTGCACCCTCTCCCTTTCTCACCCAGGCATCTCGCCCAAAGCCAGCAGGGCTGGAGGCGGGAGATTTTTACCATCAACCCGCTCTGGAGCCCTTTCTCTCCAGGACTGGATGTTCTGTTTACTGAGCTGAGACTGAGGTGGCCACTTAAGTGCGCACAAGCTCTGGGGGAGACCAGAGTGAGCAGCTGAGGCATGGGACCCACAGAGTTCACACCATCTTGAGGCAAAGAAGATCTGCACCCTCTCCACCCCTCCCGCCCCACTTCATTCCTTCATCCCCCCAACAAACACTTACTGAACATCCACGTGCCAGGAACTGCTCTAGGCATTGGGGACAGGACAGTGAGTGAAGAGCCAAAAATCCCCATCCTGTGAGCATACACGCTAATGGGGGAGATGGGTGCTAAACAGGATAAATAAGAAAAACATAAAGTGATCAGTGCAAAGGAAATGAAGGGACAGGAAATAGGGGGTTACATTTCAGTTAGGGTGGGTAGGGAAGGTCTCATTAAAAGGCAACATTTCAGGCCAGACACGGTGGCTCACCCTGTAATCCTAGTACCCTGGGAGGCCGAGGCAGGCGAATCGTTTGAGCTCAGGAGTTCGAGACCAACCTGAGCAAGAGCGAGACCCCATCTCTACTAAAAATAGAAAGAAAAATATATAGAAAAAAATTAGCCGGGCATGGTGGCACGTGCCTGTAGTCCTGGCTACTTGGGAGGCTGAGGCAGAAGGATCGCTTGAGCCCAGGAGTTTGAGGTTGCTGTGAGCTAGGATGACGCCACGGCACTCTAGCCCGGGCAACAGAGCGAGACTCTGTCTCAATAAATAAATAAATAAAGGCAACATTTCAGAAAAGACTTTTTAAAATGTTAGCTGGGCACAGGAGACAAAATACAGTCATGTCTTGATTACGTCACTGGGATTAATTTACTGGGTACAAACATGAAATGCCTGCATATGTGTCTATGTATGACTAATGCGGGCAGTGGCCCCACAACGCCACAGGCCAGGGAGAGGTGTCTGGAACAGACACTGGAGCAGGGCAGGACGGGCCTCTCAGCCCTGCCCAGTCTTCAAGCATGGCTAAGAATGGGGCCTCAGGCTGCCAGCTCTGGGCAGCATCAGCAACACCTCCTCCCAGGCTGGACAGTGCTATCTGGGAAGGAGCATGGGCCCCTGAGATTGTAGAGTCTCCTGTGTCTGGCCCTGTGGCATCAGGGGCTGGGGACAGTGAGGTGTGACCATGGGCTCTCCACATCCCACCCCACCCTGGCCCCCCACCTCTGCCGCTTTCCATTCCCGGCAGGCAGACAGGGTCTGATGGGGTTTTTCCGGGCTGGGCCAGTGGCCTGACCCAGCTGGGGTCACACGGATGGGGTGGGGACCATTCCTGGACAGTCACAGAAGATGAGGTGGGACCCTGAGCCCCTGTGGCTGGGGACAGGGGGCAGGTAGCAGCTTTGCCAGGAGCAGGCTGAGGTCAGAGAGGGGGGCTGTCAAAGCGCCCTCACCCCACATCCTGTTTTCGGAATGTGGGGCCCCAGCACTGTGCTTTTTCCTTTGGACTTTCTCCAGGGCAGCGTTCCCCCACCCAGGCCCACTCCCCAGGGAACCTGCACGAGGGTGGGAGGGTTCCCCAGCACACCTAAGCAGGGGTTCACCTAGAGTTTTTCCAGACTGGGTTGGGCCCCTGAGCCAGGGAGTAGGGAAGTCACATTCCCATCCCTTCCTGAAAACAGGCCTGGGGATCCCAGTGGGCAAATGGAAAACCACATAGGCCCTCATGGCTGGGCAGGGAGAGGAAGTGGTCCCCTTCCCCCTTAAAGAGATAGGCTTGGTCACCTCCAGTGCCTGCAACCCACCAGCCCCACTGGGGACTGCCGGGCTCTGGGACACCAGCTGAAAAACCCAGCCAGGCCGGGTGGAAGACGGTTCTGTAAAAGGCTCAAGAGCTCAGGCTCTGGAACCCGCCAGGCCAGCATGAGGCTGGGACCGGCTCTTTACTGGCCTCGTGACTATGGGCAAGTGGCTTAGACCCTTTGAGTTTCAGTTTCTCCCACTGTAAATAGTGCCCTCCTGCCATTGTTCAAAAGAGCATTGAATGAGCTAATTGGGCTCCATATAGGGCCTCGCCCACCAGGTGCACAGGTGAAGGAGGGGAGTGCTATGTGGTGGGGCATGCTCCGAGGAAGACAGGGGACAAATAAAACATCCTAACCTGGGAGCGTCCCCTCCCGGGCTGCTCAGATCACCATCGGTCACCCTAACTCCCCTCCCCATGGGACAGCTTCCCCCGCCACCTAGGGCAGTAGGAGTGGACTCTCAATTCAGAGCCTTCTGGGGGGAAAAGGAGTTTTCTACATTTCACATTACAAAATAACATGTTCGTTGTAGTAAATCTGGGAAATTATATAAAAGCAGGAAGAAACCACAGTCTTAATTCAACTACCAAAGCCAGCCACTTGTGATAGTTTAATGTCTTTCCATATGGGAGTTCTTCCAGACATCCCAGAGAACATTTGGTTCCCTGTAACATGGTTGGGACCTCAACTTGAAGACACAGAGCTGGAAGGAAATGTGGGGTCAGCTGGCCCAGCCTCCTCATTATACCAAGCCAGGAGATTCCGGCCCAGACCCGCTGAATGACTTGTCCCAGGTGAGCAGTGGCAGACTGGAACCAGGAGCTGTTAGACGTTTGCTGCTCCTTAAACGCCAGCAGCCAAGCTCCCTCCATCCATGAAGACTATCTTCAAGGGGACACAGTCAATAGCAGATCTATGCCCCCCAGTGTGGAGGAGTCTGGCGGGCTGCCATGGCCTCCCTGGTTCCCTTGATAAAGGATGTGGCCCTGGTTAACCCATCCCCCATTTCTAGGTGGAGACTTAGCTATGGGGGTGCTGGGGGAGGGCTGGAAAGGGAGGGGTGGCAGAGCCCAGCATGGGGTATGGCCCTGCATCTGTTCCCTAGGGTGGAGCCAGCCAGCAGGGTCTCCCTGTCCCTTTAAGAGAAGGGGGAGAGCGAGCCCCTCTGGCCATCCTGTCCTGTCATCCATCCCAGCCAAATCCGAAAGGGAAAATGAAAGAGGGAGCGGGAGAAGCAGGTCCCAGCCACCTCTCAAGGTCCCTCGCTCAGCTGTGACACCTCAGCTCCAGCCCCAGGGTGAGTGGGGTCGGGTGAGGGTTTGGGGTCACAAGGGGCCTGTGGGACCTGTGTGAGAGGGGCAATGGGGGCTCTCAGGAGATCTGGGGGCTTCAAGCCAAGGTCACCAGGGAGGAAAGCGAAGGCCTGGGCCAGCGTTCCCACCACACTGGGGTAGGAGTGCAGGGACGCCTCCGACAAGGACCCCGTGAGATTTGTGGAAGTGGGGCTATTTGTGTCAGCCCCCCCAACCTGAGAGGAGTTCACCGCAGTAAAAATGGTGGAGGAGTCGTCTCCCTGGGTCTGCCGCTCCCACTACTCCCAGCGGAACCAAATTGGGCCTGGAGTCCTGGGTTCGAGGCCCCACTCTGCCCATGGCAAACATCCTTGGCAGTGAGGACCCTGCTGGGTCTTTGCTTCCACCAGGCAAGTCAGGGGCTGGGCCCTGCTGATCCCCGACGCCCCTTCCAGAACCTGGAATCTGGAAGCGAACAGGGTCTAACCCAGCAGGCCGTGGGCATGTGAGGCGCCTCCCCACCCAGCACCATGGGCCCAAAGGGAAGGGAACCCAGGGTTGAGAATCACCTGCTACACTCACCCTGAAATTAGAGGTCTAACTGACCCCACCCCGATGGCGTGGAAGGGGCGGGGGTCCCTGACCTGCCCCGGCCTCTGACCCTGCCCTGCGTCCCCAGCGCCATGGGGGAGTGGGCGTTCCTGGGCTCGCTGCTGGACGCCGTGCAGCTGCAGTCGCCGCTCGTGGGCCGCCTGTGGCTGGTGGTGATGCTGATCTTCCGCATCCTGGTGCTGGCCACGGTGGGCGGCGCCGTGTTCGAGGACGAGCAGGAGGAGTTCGTGTGCAACACGCTGCAGCCCGGCTGCCGCCAGACCTGCTACGACCGCGCCTTCCCGGTCTCGCACTACCGCTTCTGGCTCTTCCACATCCTGCTGCTCTCGGCGCCCCCCGTGCTGTTCGTCATCTACTCCATGCACCAGGCAAGCAAGGAGGCGGGCGGCGCGGAGGCGGCGGCGTGTGCCCGCGGGCGGCCCGAGGGTCCCTGCGCGCCCTGTGCCCGGCGCGCCCGCCGCGCGCGCCGCTGCTACCTGCTGAGCGTGGCGCTGCGCCTGCTGGCCGAGCTGGCCTTCCTGGGCGGCCAGGCGCTGCTCTACGGCTTCCGCGTGGCCCCGCACTTCGCGTGCGCCGGCCCGCCCTGCCCGCACACCGTCGACTGCTTCGTGAGCCGGCCCACCGAGAAGACCGTCTTCGTGGTCTTCTACTTCGCCGTGGGGCTGCTGTCGGCGCTGCTCAGCCTGGCCGAGCTGGGCCACCTGCTCTGGAAGGGCCGCCCGCGCGCGGGGGAGCGCGACAACGGCTGCAGCCGCGCGCACCAGGAGGCGCAGAAGCTGCTCCCGCCGCCGCCGCCGCCGCCGCCGCCGCCAGCCCTGCCCTCTCGGCGCCCCGGCCCGGACCCCTACGCCCCGCCCGCCTATGCGCACCGGGCGCCGGCCGGCGACGGCGAGGGCGGCAGCGGCCGCAGCAAGGCGTCGCTGGCTACTGGCCGCCAGGACCTGGCCATCTAGCGGCGGGCACTGCCTCGGGCGGACAGTGAGGTCCGAGGCTGGTGGGGACCCCACCAGCTCGGCGTCACTGCAGAAGCAAGAAGTGATTTCCGCAGGAGCTGTCGCAGGACCTGCCGGAGCGGGAGACACGCAGTGGGGATGGCCCGCGAGGTGGCATCGCACCTGCCTGGTGCTGCCTCCCAGCTGCCCCGGGCAGCAGCCGTGCGCCGCCGAGCTGGGGGCGGAGAATGAACTCAAGCAGGTCCTTGGTGCCACGATCTAGGTGGAAAGGACGAGGCCGGGGCCTGAGAGAGTGGACAGGAAGTGGGCAGAGCAGAGTGGAAGCTGGAGGGCAGTAGGTGACCTGGTTGTTTTACTGGGGACAAAAACAATTGTGATACCAGCATTCCCAGGTGCTCTCTTCAGAAAGGAGTGGCCTCCATGTGGGCTCCCTGTGAGTGTGCACACATGTACACACGCATGCACTGTGAGCTGTGTGCACGTGCACATGGAAAGCCTGTGTGAGCTCCTTGTATATGCATGCATGTGTGAGGTCCTTGGGTGCATGCTTGCACATGGACACACGTATGTCCTGTGTGAACTATGTGTGCACCCACGTGGACAAGTACATCCTTGTGAGTACATTGTGCACACATGCACATGTTCCTCCTGCATGGGCTCACTGTGTGTGCACCTGTGTGAACTCTGTGTGCACACCTGTACACGTGGACATCCTTTGAGCTCTCTGTATGTGCACATGTACATCTGGTGTGAGCTCCGAGTGTGTGTGTGTCGGTGATCTCCGACGTGCACTGCTGGGGTGGCCAGGATCCAATGCCAGCAGCAGCCACAATGGCTCCCTCCCTACTGCCCGAACCCAGCCCACCCACCAGGGCACAGGAGGTCTCCCCACCTGAGAGCCCACCCAGGAAGGGAGGGGGAGGGGAGCACCCCATTCCCAGGGCAGGCCTCAGTCCCGCAGGGCTGGCGAGCACATCCACACTGTCCACCCTGTCGCCAGGCAGGGAGGCTGGGCCCTTTCACGGAGGTGGAGTGGGGGTGGGCATGGGGCAGGAGGGCAGCACAGAGAGTGTTGTCCTTTCCTCTGCCATCTTCACCCTCCCCCCCACCCCGTTGCTGCTTCCTTCTTCTATAAACATGGTTAAGTTCCTTCCATCTTCAGGGGGAAGAACCTCCCCCCAAAGCAAATGTGCTCCTGGCCCTGGTTTCCCCCTTCTTCCTCCCAGGCGTTCAAAGAGCTGTCTGCAGGGCTACCTCACGCCCCCTCCCACCCCTCCCCTGCCCATCTGTCCTCCCACTTCACCACCTGGGTGCACTGCTCTCCATAAGACCACCCAGGACCTAAGTGACAAATCCAGGGGCCTTGTCAGACCCTGCTGACCTGGCCCAACCTCCTACTGCCACGACCCCACTCTGCTCGAGTGTCTTCCACGTCCCTGGCATTCCCCTGCCCCCTAGTCACGTGCTCACCTTCCTCAGCTCTCGTCCTGTGCCCTGCACAGCAGGTGGGGGGACTTTCTCAACAGCCCCCCTATTTAAGCCCTTGGGGGCTCTCCTGCCCTCAGGGTAAATCCAGCACCTTCTCGAAGCTTCCCAAGCCTCCAGCACCAGCACACTGGCCTCCCCCTGGTTTCTGGGCTCCTAACGATACCCCATTTTCTGCTGTTAACAAGCACCATGCCCAAGTGTTTGAACATGCTGTTCCTTTGCACAGAGCAGCCACCCTCTCTCTGCAGCCTCCTTCTGCCCTAGCTAAGGCCTTTTTGGTCTCACTTGGGAAGAAAACAGATGCCTTTAGGGAGAGGCCTTCCATGGTGGCTCCCACCCCAAGTCAGAGCTAAAGGCCCCAGGGTACGATGCTTCCCCGGGAGGAGCACCCTCCTGCAGGATGGCATCGCTATCCCCGTCCATGGCACATAATAGGTGCTTAGTGAGTATGTGCTGGATGAGAAACTGAAGGTGTCCCCCGGCCCACACCATCGCCACGCCCAAGCACTTACCCACACTGACAATAGGCACCACTATCTCTCTGACGACAATTCACTGTCCACAGCCTAGACCCCTCCATACACACTTAGACTTGGATGTCCAGCCGTTTTCCACATATATTCGTTCAACAAATATTTACTGAGCACCTACTAAGTGTCAGACAGTGTTTGAGATCGGCATCATCTGATAGAAATAGCATGTGAGCCACATATGTAATTTCGTTTTTCATTAGCCACATTAAAAAAGTAAAAAGAAGCAAGTGAAATTAATTTTAGTAATATATTTTTTTAACCCAATATACCCAAGCTATTATCATTTCCAAGCATCACTGATATTAAAAAGTATTAAGGAAATATTTTACCTTCTTTTTTTTCATACTAAGTCTTGGAAGACTTGGTATGACACTTAGAGCACATCTCAGTTTGGACCAGCCGCATTTCCAAGGCTCAACCTCCACGTGTGCCTGGTGGCTGTGCATAGAACGGAGCAGATGTAGATGTTGGGCTGCGTTGGTGAACAACACCTGCCCCCATGGAGCTTACCTTCTGGTGGGAAGGCAGACAATAGGTGGATATAGAACATATGTCAGGTAGCAGTAAGAGTAAGAGGGGAGAGAATGCCATTCCTCAGCAGGTGAGACTTAAACAGGTTGTAGCAAGGGGCTGGCCACGAAATGGTCTCCAGGAAGAGCATTTAGGTGGAGGGAATGGCAAGTGCAAAGGCCCTGAGGCAGAAATGCACTGGGGGGTGGGGAGTGCAGCCGGCAAGGAGGCTGGTGTGGCTGGAGTGGAGTGAGTGGCTCAAATGCAACCCCAACATCCTTAGTTCCTCAGCTCAGTTACTGGCACCTCCATCCACTGAAGCCACCTCCACCCAGTTGCAGCCCAGCCCGTCCTCTGCACACCTTCCGCAACTCAGCAATCCTCTGGTCCTCCCATTTTACCACCTAAGCATCCCCCTAGCTTGCCCCCTCTTCTCCCACCCTGCAGAGGCTGCCCAGGCTCAGCCCATCACCGATAGCCTGGAGAGCTCCCCAAGTCCTGCTCCTGCCTCCTCTGCTCCAACATGAGCACCCCATTTGCTGGCTTAAAACTCTTCACTCCCATTGGCTTCAGGACCAAGTCCAGCTCTTGATTTATCACCTAGCTAACTCTGCACCCCCCCAGCTAACTCTTTCCCTTAGAGATTTAGCTGAGAGGGGCCACCTCGTGCAGGAAGGGCTTCCGAGCCCTGCCCCAGGCCTGGTTAAATACCTCCGTCCTGCATCCCTGTAGACTCAGTCGTTGCCCTCCCCAGGTTCTACCCAGTCACCAGCCTCTGGGTCAGTCTCCCTGTGGAGGATGGCTCCTGGCTCGGTGAAACGCAGGTCAGCCCTTGATGACCAGGTTCTAAGCAGTGGTTCTCAGCTGGGGGCAATTTTGCCCCCAGGGGACATTTGGCAATGTCTGGAGCGGTACTTGGTTGTCACAGCTGGGAAGGTGGGGTGGTGGGAGGCACATCTAATGGGTAGAGGCCAGGGGTGCTGCTCAACTTTGTACAATGCGTGGGAAAACCCCTCCTAAGTAAAAATTACCTGGCCCAAAATGTCACTAGCGCTGAAGTTGAGAAACTGCTTTACGGCAGGGAACTGTTAACCAAGGAGGGCAACTGCAAGCCAGAGGTTCCCAACAGCAAAGGCACTACCACAAGTGGGGGCCACTGCTTTGGTTGTCACAATGATGGGGGATACTGTTGCCATTTAGTGGGTGCGGGCCCTGAATGCCAAGATATCCTCCCACAATAAAAAATTGTTGTGCACAACTTTAGAACGCCCCACTGGACATTTACATAGTGAAAAACTTCTTTGTGATTCCCTGAGCCCCAAACTTGACTCTTTTTACACATATAACATTCAGTGTGTTTTGTTTGGGTTTTTTTTTTTTTGCACAGTTTTGTTATAGATCGAATATCCTAGTTATTTTTGGTTTTTGATACGGGGTCTGGCTCTGTGGCCCAACCTGGAGTGAAGCGGTGCAATCATACCTCACTGGAACCTCGAACTCCTGGGCACAAGTGATGCTTCCACCTCGGCTTCCCGAATAGCTGGGACTACAGGTGTGAGCCACTGTGCCAGGCTAAATATGCCAGTTTTTATTTCAACATCCACCCATACTCTTTAATTTTCCTGGGCTTCTTGTACAGAATGGCTTCTGACCTTCTTACTTTTTAAAAAATCCAAATATATTTGTTAAAAATAGAGGCAGGTTTGTTTCCATGTGCCTGAGGAAAAAATAAATAAATAAATGGATAAATAAAAAGCAGTAAAAAATAGAGGCAAAGCCTGAGCAAGAGCGAGAACCAGTCTCTAGAAAAAAATAGAAAAATTAGCCGGATGTCGTGGCTCATGCCTATAGTCCCAGCTACTGGGGAGGCTGAGGCAGGAGGATTGCTTGAGTCCAGGAGTCTGAGGCTGCTGTGAGCTATGACGATGCTACTGCACTCTAGCCCAAGTGACAGAGATCCTGTCTCAAAAAAAAAAAAAATAGATGCAAGAGTTAATGTACTGAAACGCATAGCACGTTCCCTTAATTTGTCCTTTATAATACAGTTGTGATAGCGTATTGATTTTTGAAAGCATGTGTACAGGTATGTTTTACTAAATTTCATTTCAAATTCGTAAAGATGTTAGAAAATACAAGAGAGAACAAGCGCCTCTGCCCGCCAGCTCCCTCCAGCCTCGGACAAGGAGTTAAGCAAGGAGCTGCCGCCACCTGGTGGCTGAAGTAGAAATGGCAGACGGTCGGAACCCTTTGCCTCCCCAACGCCCCACCACCGGAGGCGCAGGGTTGGCCTCCCAAGCTTCCATCACAATCCCGGGTTCTTGTTAGGTTGCCATGAGCCCCTGACCCCCAGCCCCCGTGCCATCTGCCACTCCTGCCATGAAGGTCAAGTATGTGGTCACTCCCCAAGTAGAATTCCTCTGCCACTAAGTGACCCAGCCTCTGGCTTCCTAAGGACCAGGACGGTGTGTGGGCAGCGGTTGGCTTCCTCCCTCAGATTAGGGGCTCCCAGACCCCGAGGCTGAGGGCTTCCCAAGGATAGGCCTGTCTCCTCCCTCGGGTCGCCAAGGCCCCAGCACCACAGGCAGGCCTTGGAGAGCAGCTTGGAAGGGGTGCACTGGCCAAACCCTTGGTCCCAGTGCTCATACCCGACCAGAGGCCCAGACCCCATGAGGAAGTCCCCATCCCTAGCCCCCTGTCCAGACCCTGAGAGGAGGGGTGGAGGCAGTGAGGCTAGAGGCGTGTGTAGAATAAATATAACTTTATTCTTTATCCAGTAGATCTCAGTGGAAAGCCCAACAGTAACAGGTGCACCAGTGGGCTCCAGGGGGCTGAGACCCCAACCCCAGGTCGAGGAGGTCAGGGCAGAGCCAGCTCCCCCATCCCCCAGCTGGGGGTGCAGGGGTGAGGGGAGGAGACCCCCTGTAGGCCCGTCCTGCGGGGCAAGGAGGGGGCACGGTGTGGGGCAGGTGGGGGTGGGGGCTGGCCAGGGAAACAGAGGAACTCAGGCCAAGTGCGTGCGGGCCTGTCTACGGTCCACAGTGCATGTGCGTGTGCATGTGTGTGCGTGTGTGTGTGTGTGTGTGTGTGTGTGTGTGTGTGTGTCTGGGGCCCTGCAGGGGTGCTGGTGGCTGAGGCAATGGGTGGGGAGAGGATGGATGACGTGGGCCCTGATGGAAGGCAGCTCTGCTGGGGAGACGGTGCAGAAACACGCACCCCATGCGCGTTCCGAGCGTCCCCTCGCTTCGCCCCTGCCCTGCTCCCCATGCAGAGGCCAGGAGCCATCCCTACAGGGGCTGCAGGGCCGTCCACACCCAGTGGTTAGGCAGAGGGAGAGGGGGACTGGCTGTTCCTACAGCACGAGGGAGGGAGGGGACGGCAGGCCTCGGAAAGTTAGTACTTCACAGTTTGAAAGAGAAAACTGAGGAGAAAAAGGCTGAGGAGGGTGAGGGGGCGCAGGGACACGGGAGAGAAAGTGGGAGCCCCTCTGAGCCACTCCCCTCCCCCCAGGACCCACCCCCTCCAGCTCTGGATCCAGCTCCCCCCAATACACAGCACAAATTCCTTCAGTATAAATGTGCTTAAAATGAAAATTCTTATTAAAAAAATATTA